AAATAAAACAAAAAGGAAAAGGAAAAAAATAAAGAATAAATTACAATTTGCTCCTAAACTTTCTTAAAATGCAAACAAGTCCAAAAAACTAATTTAATTTCACCCAACATCACAAACCCTAATTCTCTCTCTACACAGCCCGCCATCATCGTCGGAGACTTCACCCGCCACAATTACTAATAAATTACCAAACAGCTCTCTCTACCTGCATCTTCTTTCTTCTTCAGTTTTTTCAATTCACACACGGCCACACACACATTAATCGATACAGTTTAATGACCCAGAAGCAAAACCAGTAAAGAGAGAGAGATGGGAGGGGTAACGTCGTCAATGGCAGCAAAGCTAGCATTTTTTCCACCAAGCCCACCAAGTTATAAGCTAATTACATACTAGACAACTGGGCTGCTTCTGCTGGACAATTTCACGCACCGTGAAAACGTCGACGTTTTGAAGCTGCCGACGCGGAGGGGCACGAAAATTGTGGCCATGTACATACGCTACCCCATGGCTGCCTCCACACTGCTTTACTCCCATGGCAACCTGGCGGAGATTGGGCAGATGTATGAGCTATTTATAGAGCTCAGCATCCACTTGAGAGTCAACCTCATAGGGTAATTTAACTTGCTTTCTGTGTGAATATATGTAAGGAAATTGATTCCTTGAAGATTCCTCAATTGATGAAAAACAGATTCCAACTGAAGGAGCCTTTTTCATCTGTTTTTCTGCCTTTTTTCTTCTGCAATTGCTGGTGCCGGTTGTGCTATTTTCTTCTTGCAATTTTGGATTAATCTCAGCTGGGGGAAGCTTAAATCCCCAACAATATAGTTGGAATTTTGGACAAAGGGTTTTGGTTGTGAGCTATTTGAATTTTTAAGTTTATGTTTTGTGGGTGAATTCAAGCTGATTCTTGGATATCTTTTGATGGGTTCTTTGTTTTCTTCTTACATCAGGAGACGGATTCTAGAGAGATAATTGTGGGGTGGGGGGGATTAAGGATTGTGATGTTGGGTGAAATTAAATCAGTTTTTTGGACTGATTTGCATTTTAAAAAAGTTTAGAAGCAAACTGTAATTTATTCTTTATTTTTTTTCTTTTCCTTTTTGTTTTATTTCAATTGGAGGGTATATAGGTCATTTTAAGTTAAAAATTAGGGAAAATGATGTTTTGTGCAAGAAAATGCATAGGAAGGGACGTTCTGCACCAAAAAATTAAACGTAGGAACGTTTTCCACACAACCCGTCATAGGTAGGGATGTTTTGCTCCAATTTCCCTTTTTCAAGTGAAAAATTATACCAATCAAACACAATTCTCAGTAAAACAATTTCTAGGGAATTCAATTCCCTATAAAACATTTTCTTTCCACCTATTTTTTTCCTTTGCAATTAAACGGACCCTAAATGAAAAGTATAACGCGAAATGTTGAGAAAACATTATGCGAAAAAAACATAATTTCATGTTTAAAAATTATTCATTATTCAATTTAGAAAAAGGGTAACAGAGATTATGTTACAGAAATAAATAAAAAATTATGTATGCAGTGACTTTAAATCGCATTCATATTTTTATTGATCCAATGAGGTCGAAATTAAAAGATTTTCTCAACGTTTTGAAATTTTTTAGGTGTGTTTGATGGATATTATTAAGGAAATAATGTATTTTAAATAACGATATGATGGAAAATATATGATTAAAAAGTAAAGAAAAATTATTGAAGTGATGAAAAATATTTTTTTATTAAAGAATATGTAATTAAAAACGAATTTTAAAATAACGTGTTTTTAAAAAATATGTGTCAAAGAGGGCTTAGCCCTGAAGTTTAAAGTTTCCTTAAAGCTATTGAATTATATTATTTTAAAATTTTAGATTCCTCAGAGCTAAACCAAGAATGTTTTCTAAACTACCTGAAAATTTTCAAATTACAAAATATCTCCAACACTGAAATTCCTGCATTTCTTTCGTAAAAGTTGCAAACTTTTCACAACTTATTTTTAATTTCGAATACAGATTTTGCACTTGAAACAAATATATCTTCCCATTGTTTCAAATCAAACCTTAGAAAAAAATTTCATCTCAATTTTCCAAGTCAGCCATGTACTCGACTCCTGTGGAAGGCAACCATGTATTTCCTGAAATGAATTCAGCCACTGTAAACTGCTTTACTTCGTCCGAGTCATTAAGTATATGGTAACCGGGCCATTTCACTCGGCCTCCCAAGGCTGCCCCCGCTCCATAATTCATGTATTCTGCATAGAATAGAGTATCAAGGTACAAACTTCCGTCCCATTCAAGCCATCCCTCAGGCCTAATGGCATTGCTAATGTACGATTTCATAATAATCGTACGCGAAAACTTTTTCCAAGGACGACCTAGATATGTTGGGATGGTGACGTTTGATTCGGCTCCTATGTAACAGGATTGGAAGGAAAAGCCTGAAGAGTCTGTTTTTTCTCGTCCATGTGCTGTGATGGTGTTCTTTTGATACGGAATCCCTTGTCGCGCTAGAATTTGGCAATTTTGGAAGACAGCTGTACCGCGGCCAAAAATAAAATCAACTGTGCCAGTAATTTCGCATTCCTTGTAGAACTGACGCAAAGAGTGCACATATAACGTATCTTGGTATCCCCTAATGGCGCAGCGGTACACAACTGAAAATTCAGAATCAGATCGAAAAGAAACTGCTTGGTGCATAATGGGGCCTGCCGTATTCTCAAATGTCATATCCCGTGCAAGGAATCCTCTGCCCTTAACTCCTGCAATTTTGTCATTTGAAGAAATTAACATGAAATTACTTTGCAACTTATGTAACACTACTGCTATTTGTGCTATATCAGCTCAATTTTTTTTAACACTGGCTACCACAAAATACATAAAGAATAATGAATTTGTAATACTGAGATCAGTCTACGCCATCAAGTTTACATAAATTGGAGTGATATGTCAAAAACACCGAAAAAATTGGGCTTTGGATGAAAAATGTCAGAACTTCATGCAGCATAAGTAGTAAATAATTGCACGAAATGATATATCAATTAAGCCACCGTTTGACACCCATTAAAGAGTTTTTCGGAAAAATTAGTTTCGAAATAATTATTTTTCTTTGGAGAATGCGTGGTTCAAAGTAAGGAAAATTTTTTAGTTTACATGCAAAATATTTTGTGGTTGAAAATGAGTTTTTTTTGTAAAAAAGAGTTTTAATCAAAAAAGTAATATTGTTTTGTCAATTAAAGATTATTCTTACCAAAAGTTGCACTACGGTACGGGGTCCAGCCATCCGCATAGCTCCTATTACCGGTGATAATTGTAACATCCATGCCATCTCCAATCATCAATATATTCCATTTCTTCTTATCAATCTCTACATACTCTTCATAAATACCTTGTTTTACGTATATCACATATCGTTGTGTACTGCGATCTGGGGCTGTAGAGACAGCATCCATGATCCTAGTAAAATCCCCCGTGCCATCAGCTGCCACCACCACATCTACTGCCGTGTAGTTGCCACCTTCGAGGAGTTTCTCATCATTGGATTTCAGCCAATCTGGAAATTTTTCGTTTCTCGTAACCTTCCTGCCACCAGAACTGCCTCCGCTACCACCAGCAGTTCTGCAAGAATGGCATCCTTTTAACGTTGAGTCCGGGGTTGTTCGTACCATGGAAAGAATGTCCTGGACTGCTGTTGTGATTTTGTGAAGTCTGTTGCCCACAAAACTCTTCACAGTGCTGTTTGTACCATCAAGGCCTTCTAGGCAAGTGTTTTGATTTATCAATACTCCGCTCAACCATGCCCTCATGTTAGAAGGTAGATCTTCAGGCCTTTTATTTTCTTTACCTACTCAGTAAAAAATAGAGAAGAAAAATTTTAGTCGATCCATACAAAATTTCAGGACAATTTCTTAAAAAAAGCCAGGAAATTAACTAGGATGTTTTACTGTAGTGATTTTCTTTAGGGTAATTATTTTCATATCACAATTTTTATTTCTTGCACCACATTTTAATTGCACCTAAGGTTAATCATTGCTCATTATAGCATTTATATACCTATCGATTTTTTATGTTATTTTTATACACAAACTATTCATTAGTCAACAAATTTTGTATTTGATAATAGTTTTATATCCAAAAGTCCGTTAAAATGGCATAAAGAAAATACCTACTTTGCCATCATATTTTTTTCAAAGTATGAAAATAAAACATTTTGATATAAATCATCATCAAGGACAAGAAGTACTAATTAATGAAAGGTTGAAGATAAGAGTTCGACGAAAAAAGTTAAGAAAATAATTGCTACAATGAGGACCCAAATTAAAGAAAATGTTTATTTTTGCGACGGCGACTTGACTCTCGCGATAACACAAATTAAATAGGTCGAAAAATTGTGATAATCCTAGTTGTCTGCTAAAAGAATGCAGAAAATGTACCATCTGATTCCTGAGAAGCCAACATAGTCCAATTCAACTCATCCACTGAAAGGTCCAATAGATCGAGACAGTCTGAAAGGGCATTAGAGAGTCGAAAATCATCCAATTGTTCTGTGAAATTCAACATCGTTGAGATCACCTGCTGAGCAGTTTCCACAGCAGACCTCATGGAACCAGAAAAATGCGACATGGGAACGTTCAACAATTCTGACTGATCGACAAAATCTAAGTCACCAGTAGCCAAGGGAGACAACAAACAAATCATGACCAAAAACAAAGTTTTCAACAAAGCATCCATTAATTGATCTTCGACTATAAGGTGATATGAAGAGAGATTAAGGATGCTAAGCTGATAATTAATTTGTTGGAGAATTTTTAGTGAAGTTCAAATACAATGGGAGTACTAAAAGCATGAAAAGAAAGCGGAACTAAATTTCAGTGTTCGGAGTGAGATAATGAAGGAAGAAGTGGTACTAAATAGGGGGAAAGCAATGCAATTCTGGAAGATAACATTTTTATGTAGTCAACATATTTTGATAAAAGTTGATAAAATGTGTGATTAAAATTAATTGCTGACTTTATTTTAGATTAAAATTTGAATTTTAATTTCTATCCAACAAGGATAAAAGTTGTCATATTCAATGGGGGAGGGATCCTAGGGCTTGTTGAGGTCACTATCAAAGAATGTTATTGTTTAAGTGACACCAATTTAGGATTCTTAGCTGCCAACTATTTTATTTGTCTAAATGCAATTGTTTGAATAACTTTTGGAGGTACTTTCCTTTGAGTATTCTTGCAGCATTGATGAACTGAAATGAGTAATATCAAAACTTGCATTGCAACAAGTATTTATTGTATATATTGCATTGAATTCAATGGAAATTGGTAACTAACCTTTGACTTGATAATTAAGCTTTGACCAATTGAGTACAAGAAATTTGTCAAATTTTGACAAGATTAAATGAAGCTAGTTAGGCTCATAAATTTGTATGAGTTGTAATATTAATGAACTGTGAATCATCTTAATGTCATATTATTTTCCGAAATAGTTAAAACGATTCATATTATTGTGAGTTGTAAATTGTAATATTTAAACTCAAGAAATTTCCATAATCTATATTTCAAAACAGCTGAATGCCGAATGAGTAAAGATCTTGTGATTATATTTCAAAACAGCTGAAGCATTTCACATTATTTTTGAGGTTTAAAATTTAAGCCAAAGATTTTATAAGCAAAAAACTTCAAACTAATAGTTGAAGTTCTAACAGAATAGTCGCTGGAGCCAAAGTGAGCTGGGGACCAGTTGAAGTTAATTGGAGCTGATCATCAGTTGCTGATACTGAGTCTGATTTAGAGTTTGCGTAAAGTCTCCTACACCATGTGGAATCTGCTCTGGAACAGCACCAGACACCTGTTACTTGTAACATGGAGTTTGTAACACTTGTCTACAGAACGCCCATTCATTCCACAACGTGTGCACATATGCCTTTCTTTCCTCTGAATTTGACCAGTATTGAACCTCTTGTTCTCATTTCTGGCGTAAAATCCCATAGAGTCAACATTATTGCTAGCATCATTACTATTCAAGCTTATATTCCTTTAATATTCTTCTTGACAAACAAGAGAGAACGCTCTATTAATGGAAGGTATGGGGACCATAAGCAGGATTTAGCCTCTAACTTGTGAAATGATTCATTTAAACCCATCAAGAATGACATCACATACTCCATTTGATAATGATCGGCATGCTTCCTAGATCCTTCACAACCGCATTTTCCACAGGTGCACACTAGCCTGTAATTGCTAAGTTCCTCCCATATAGTCTTCAATTTTATAAAGTAGGCACTCACGGAGGATTGGCCTTGAGAATGATTCATCAATTCGCGCCTTAATTGAAATATGGGAGGTCCATTACACTGTTGAAATCTCTCCTTCAGATCTGTCCATATATCCTATGCTGATTCAGAATATTTGATGCTAGCAAAAATCTCCTTGGATTGTGAATTCAATATCTACGAAATCACCATATTAATGTTGCGACTCCAATGAAGAAGCAACTCCTCATTGTCCTCTGGTTTAGGTATGGATCCATTAATGAACCCGATTTTATTTTTCACTGATAGAGAAATCACCATTGACCTTCTCCATGAGGCGTAATTATCGACTGTTAAAGGTTGAGAAACCAGCACCAGCCCTGGACTATCAAATTGGTGAAGGAAATACTGGCTGGATCCATCATCAATTGTGGAACGATTAATTGATGAAGGTGCTGTGGAAGCCATGATGAACAAAGAATAGAAATTAATTTGAAAAAGGAATCACAGATGAAGCATCATTGCTCTGATACCATATTGGAATTAATCGAAGAACCCAAAAATCCGAGTAAATACAATTCATTATGCTGCTATAAATAGAAAGGAATTCTAACTAATTAACTAATTGGGATTGTACAAACCAATACATTGTAGACATGCGGACAACTATTAAAATCAGCTAACTAACTTCCAGCTCGTCCAAGTCTGTTGCAGCTGATGATCAGCTCCAATTAACTTCGACTGGTCCCCAGCTCACTTTGGCTCCAGCTCCAGCTACTATTCTGTTAGTGGATGATTGTACACGTTTTACTTAGGTGTATCTGATGAAGAATAAATCTGATGCTAAGTATATCATTCCCAAGTTTTTCAACAAAGTTGAAACTCAGTTCCAAGTGCTCATTAAATCTTTCAGATCTGATAATGCCCTTGAGTTACAGTTTACAAAATACTTCAATTCTAAAGGGGTTGTCCACCAATTTTCATTGTAGAGAGGTTTGAACAAAACTCAGTTGTTGAAAGAAAGTATCAACACCTCCTCAATGTTGCTAGAGCCTTGTATGTTCAATCACAAATTCCTATTCAGTTCTGGGGAGAATGTATTCTTACTGCTACCTTCCTTATACACAAAACACCTACATCAGTACTACAAAACAAATCCCCTTATTCCTAATTGCATAATTCCCCAGTCGATTACACTTACCTCGGAACCTTTGGATGCCTGTGCTTTGCTTCAACACTACTATCTCCGAGAACAAAGTTTCAACCCAGAGCTAGGTCTGCATCTTTGTTGGATATCCACCTGGAATTAAAGGTTATATATTATATGACATTATGTCTAAAACCTTTCTAATTTCCAGGGATGTCATTTTTCATGAGCAAGTCTTTCCTTTTCATTCCATCACTCACCAGTACAACACAATTGATCCAATTCCTGAACTTCTTTTGCCAAAATCCCTGCCTATCACATTCCCTTCTAATTCACCTAATTCATCGCCCATTGCAGTGTAAAATGAACGTGAAAATGGTTTCCAAGAGTGGCTTCTTGATTCTAATCCTAATACCTTAGAGTTGTATCACAATCATAATAATGCTGAAAAAAGTTCCTTAGAGCCCATTGTAGTTAGAAGATCCTCTAGAATGAGCCTTCATCCTTCATATCTAAGAGATTATCACTGCAATCTCTTGACAAAGTCAGAACAAAACTATGATAATTCTAATCACCCCATCTCAAAACACCTCTCTTATAAATCACTTCCTTTTTTCTATCTCCTCAAATTTTGAACTTCAATTTTATCATCAAGTTGTGAAATTTGGTCATTGGAGGGATGCTATGAATTCTGAGTTACGGGCTATAGAAACAAATAACACTTGGACCATTACAACTTTGCCCAAGGATAAGCACTATATTGGCTGTGAATGGGTATACAAGATAAAATACAAATCAGATGGGAGTATAGATTGATACAAAGCTCGATTGGTTGCAAAAGGGTATACTCAACAAGAGGGGTTGGATTTCATGGAGACGTTCTCTCTTGTAGCTAAGCTTGTAATTGTTAAAGTTCTATTAGCCATTGCCTCAGCTAACAATTGGCATATCACACAGTTGGATGTCAATAATGCATTCCTCAATGGTGATATATTTGAGGAAATTTATATGGACCTTCCATTAGGCTATGACAAACGAGATGGGGTTGGTAAACAGGGAGAGAATCTGGTGTGCAGGCTTCATAAATCGATTTATGGTTTGACACAAGCCTCAAGACAATGGTTTTCGAAATTCTCAAATGCTCTTCTTCTCCATGGCTTCCATTAGTCAAAGTCTGACTACTCCTTATTCACTAAAGGGTCTGGGAAATCCTTTGTTTTCTTGCACAGTCAGTACAAGTTAAAGGATCTTGGCCAGTTGAAGTAAATCTTGGGATTGGAGATTGCCAGATCACATAAAGGAATTTTCCTATCTCAACGCCATTATGCCCTTCAATTGCTTGAAGACACAGGTGTTCTGGGTTGTAAGCCTGTTGCATTACCTATGGATCCCAAGATTCGTCTGAGTTCCTTTGAAGGAGATCCTCTTGTTGATACGTCAATGTACAGGCGTCTGGTTGATCGCCTATTATACTTAACCATTTCACGGCCTGGCATTACTTTCACGGTTCATAAACTGAGCCAATTTGTATCTCAACCTAGGCAGCTAAATTTAGATGCAGCACATCATCTGCTGAGGTACATCAAATCCACCCAGGACAAGGACTTTTATTTCTAGTGGAATGTTCTTTCAGTTAAAAGCCTTTGCGGATGCGGATTGGGGATCTTGTCTTGATTCAAGAAAATCCATTACTGGTTTTTGTGCTTTTCTTGGGGTTTCATTAATCTCATGAAAAGCCAAGAAACAAACTACTATCTCAAGGTCATCAGCTGAGGCTGAATACCGTGCATTGACATCTACAACAAGTGAGCTGGTTTGGCTAAAACAATTACTTCTTGATTTTTATCAACATATGATCCTGCTCTGATTTTTTGCGACAATCAAGCGGCTATCCATATAGCTTCTAATCCTATCTTCCACGAATGTACCAAATACATAGAGATTGATTGTCATTTTGTTCGCGACAAGGTCACTAATGGTTTTCTTAAGCTGTTGCCTATTCGGTTACAACATCAGTTAGCTGATGTTTCCACAAAGGCTTTACCAGCCTTTCTATTATTTACGTTGTTGTCCAAGATGGATGTGATAAATCCCCATTGTCCATCTTGAGGGGGAGTAACAGAATAGTAGCTGGAGTTGGAGCCAAAGTAAGCTAGGGACCAGTCGAAGTTAATTGGAGCTAATCATCAGCTACAACAGAATTGGACGAGCTGGAAGTGAGTTAGCTGATTTTATTAGTTGTCCACATGTCTACAATGTATTGGTCTGTACAATTCCAGTTAGTTAATTAGTTAGAATGCATTT